CTAAGAAGAAGAAGAGAAAAAAAAAAAAAAAACAGTAGGGAAGGAGAATAATAAATGAAGAAAAAAAAATAGGAAGATTGCAAAAAGCCTGAACCTTTTGCAGAGCCTTCTGTTGTTCTGGGCCCCACTCAAAAGTAGCAACTTTCCAAGTCACTTGATAAATAGGCTGCAGCAAAACACCCAAATCAGGGATATGTTACCTTCAAAAATCCAAAGAGGCCCATCAGATGTTGTGTGTCCTTTTTAGTTTTTTGGGAAGCCAGATACAATACCTTATGTTTCACTTTAGTAGGAATATCTCAACATATGGCACACAATTGGACCCCTAGAAATTTCACTGAGGTGGAAGATGCCTCAATTTTTGTCAGGTTAATTTGCCATGATCTAGCATGTAGATGTCTCACCAATAAGTATAGAGGCATCAATACTTCTTCCTTAACTAAGTTCAGTCAGCATAATGTCATCAATATAATGGACCAATATGATGTCTTGTGGAAAGGAAAGATGATCAAGATCCCTGTGGACTAAATTATGACATAGTGCTGGGGAGTTAATATACCCCTTAGGAAACACTGTGAAATACATTGTTGGTCTTACCAGCTGAAGACAAAATGCTTCTGATGGTCCTTTGAAATTGATATTGAGAAAAAGGCATTGGCCAGATCAATAGCTGCATACGAAGTAGTGGGAGATGTACTAATTTGCTCAAGCAATGAAACTACATCAGGAACAGCAGCTGCAATTGGGGTTACCACCTGATTAAGTTTATGATAATCTACTGTCATTCTCTAAGATCCATCTGTTTTTTGCACAGGCCAAAGAGGTGAATTAAATGCAGATATGGTGGGAATCACCACCCCTGCATCCTTCAAGTCCTTGATGGTGGCAGTAATCTTTGCAACCCCTCCAGGGATGTGGTATTGCTTTTGGTTTACTATTTTTGTAGGTACAAGCAGTTCTAATGATTTCCACTTGGCTTTTCCTGCCATAATAGCCCTTACTCCACATATCAGGGACCCAATGTCGGAATTTTGCCAATTGCTGAGTATATCTATTCCAATTATGCATTCTGGCACTGGGGAAATTACTACAGGATGGGTGCGGGGACCCACTGGACCCACTGTGAGACACACCTTAGCTAAGACTCCATCAACAATTGACCTCCATATGCCCACACTCTGACCAGTGGGCTGCAATGATGCTCTAGGTCTCCTGGTACTGTCAGTTCAGAGCCAGTGTCCAGTAATCCCCAAAAAGTCTGATTTATTTCCTAATTCCTAGTGAACAGTCACTCTCATAAAAGTACTCAGATTCCTTTTGGGAAGGCTGGGAGAAAGATTGACATTATAAATTTTTGGCAATGTAGTGGGGTCCTTCCTCAAGAAGACCTGGCCTCCCCTTCACATTCAAGAGTTTGTGGGTCTGTAAACTGACTTAAATCTGGGAATTGATTGAGAGGCCATGACTCTGTTTTCTGGCAATTCAATCTAGGCTGCTGTTCACATGACCTAAAATTCTGTTTATACAGATCAAGTAAATATTTAGTAGGTTTACCATCTATTTCACTACTAGGAACACCATAACTAAGTAACCAATACCATATTCCACATGAGTCTGAATATTCTGATTACTGTTCTGACTCTGCTGTCCGTTATGGTAACCACGCCCACCTTACCTTTGTCGATTAACTGCTGCCACTTGACCCCTACTACTACATGGGGTCCAATCATCCCTATTGTAGTAAAGTGTCTTAGTTCAATTAGGGCAGTTCTCGCTGTCAAATCCAGCTTACATAAAATAGCAATCACAGCAATCTTCAAGGATGCTGGGGCTCCCTTCACAAATTTATTCCCCACTGTACTGGTGAAAGGTGTGTGCCTTCTGGACTCGCCATTTCTGGCTCTAGGGGTCTAATCTGATAAATCCATTCTAACAGTCCAATTTCCCTAAGCCTTTGGATACCTTCTTCTGCATTATACCAAGGTCTGGTATTTCAACTTGACTTAAGGTAGGCCACCGCATAATCCATGCTTCAGTAAGCCAACCAAATAAACTATTAGATCCTTTCCTAACCTCTCAAGCTGAAACATTGAATGAAGAATCCGTAGTTAGCGGGCCTAAATCAATAAACTCAGACTGATCCAATGTTACATTCCTTGCACCATTATTCCACACCCTCAGTAGCCATTCCCATACATATTCTCCAGGTTTCTGTCTGTACATGTTAGCAAAATCAAGTAGGTCTTTTTGGGTATAGCGTACTACCTCCTCAGTCACACTTTATATTTCACCTCTTGAGGCTCACTTGGACTTAACTTTAGTTATAGGTCTAGAAGCAACAATGGGTGTTTGGGGTAGTTCCTGAGAACACTCAGCAATGTTCCACAGCCTCTGCCTCAGCCAATGACCCAGTAGGAACATTTGGGTTAATTCTGTCAAACTGAGGTGAAGGGAATAATGGTTTTACAGTAATCCTTTCAGATGGGAAGGTTTCAGCAGAAGTTACAGGCTCCATATACTGATCTTACTGACTGTCTGCCCATATGTGCCCATTACAGGTTTGGATCCTATTTTTTTCCCAATCAATGCCTTCACTTTAACTTCAGACACCATTCTCGGTTGGCAATTTAATTGGAATAATTCTGCCATTCTTACAATAAGACTCTGGGTTTGGTTTTTGGCAATAACAGCCCTGTTAATAGAAGAAATAAGGGTTTCTTTTAGAGCACAATTGGAAACATTGAAGTCTTTTATGTAGTGCTTAAGCTGTGACTCAGCAGGCCTGAACTCATCTGCTCTTTCACCACTTTGTCTAGTCTAAGTTTCCTTATAATCTTCATGCTGACAGAATTGCAGAAAAATATCAAATATGCGATCACCCAGAGTCTTACTTCTCACAAGTACTTGATCTATTGGTGGTGCTATTTTGCATGTTAATGTTGCCACCTCATGCCCCAGATTAGCAGGCCCCTCTTTACTAAGTTCGGCAGGGTCACCAGTGCCTTTACAATGAATCAAATTGGAGAACCAAAACAGAATTGGTGAAAACTACTTTAGGAAGCCCATCCTTATTATTTTGTGTCTCTAGAATCACCCTACTGCTGGTACCAAATGTATTAGGCTGGGTTTTCTAGAGAAGCAAAACCAGTAAAATTTATATATACATATAGAGAAAGAGAAATTTATCTTAGGAAAATGCTCACACACTTATAGGAGTCCCAAGTCCTTGAATCAAACATATTGGCTGCTGACTCCAACGAATGACCAATCCAAGATCTCCAGGCCAAATGATGGATTGTTCACTCCCTGACAGTTGTAGGCAGCACAACAGGATCCTGATCCATAGAAGAATGTCTCTTTTCCCAGGATTTCCATAAATATATCGGAAGCAGGCTACACCTCTAGGGAAACTCCCTTTCATTGGATTGGCTGCTCAAAACATATACATCTGATCCCATCATGGGAATAACCCACATACAATTGCTTAAACCACACAGAATTGTGGTGCAACCAAGTTGACACACAGCTTCAACTATCACAAATACTAACAATAACTTAGGCATTTTTCTTTGGTTTTAAAAATGTGTCTGGAACTCATATTGAGATTTTCTTTGTGAAAGAGTATTTGTCATATATTGTGAGCACTCAAATATAACTTTAGTAATTTGCTTCTTTTAAATTTTTTACATTTTCTTTAATATATATGTGTATATTACAGTGATGCTACTGGTTATTTGAATTATTTGTTTTTTCAGTTCCTTCAAGAGCAAGTTATCCTTAATAAAATTTCCTTTATATATATATATATATACACACACACACACACACACATATATATATATATATGTACATATTTATATTCTTTGTGACAGTCACTTGATTACAGATACACTTGCTCACTCATCAGCTCTATCACTACCTGGATGCAAGTACTGTGCTAGCTGGGTGCTGGTATCCAAAGATGAAGATGCACTTCCTGGCCTCAAGGGTACATAGTCTACTACAGAGACACTAAATAATCTATCATTTATGTTTTTTTTTTTTTTCCAATATTTTTCAGCTGTTACAAACAACACTGCAGTGAGCATTTGTGTACAAATATCTCTGGATACTGCTAAATTATTTCCTTAGAGTAAATGTCTAGAAATGGAATTTCTCAGTTAAATGCATGTATTTTTTTAGGACTTTTGATGTTTATCATAATAGTTTCCAATACTATGATCTGTGTTTCTGGGCATCCATTTTCACACTTCACATTGTAATTTAAAATAAGAAAGAGCCTAATAAAAGTGGTAGTCACTGCTTGGTCACAGCCAGCTACCCAGAGGGACCGAGTAGTTGAACCTGTGGGCTCGGAACCATAGTTGCAGAGGACATCAAGCTCAACTGGCATAACATACTACACAAAACATTGTTCCACCTCCTACTTTGGTGAATAGCGACTGGGATCTTAAAAGCTTGCAAGCTGCCACCTAGATGCAACGATGGGTCTCTACTTGTCCAGAGCAAAGAAGAATGAAGAAAATTCAAAAATTCATGGATACAATCAGTCCTAGCGACTGGTACACCATCCAACCTGCAGTCTATACAACTATGAGACCAGAAGAACTAGATGGTGCCTGGTTACCAATGTCAACCACTTGGAAGGGGATCTATGTAGGAGATCCTAGATAGAGAGGGAGAACAATGTGGACGAAACTCAAAATCATTTGGAGAAAAAAAAAAAAGGTGGGGACCAGGTTTGCTGGTCTGATAGAGCCTGATGGAACCACTGAGACTATGGCCTCTAGCTGCCTGTCAGGTCTGGAATTGAACCCATACCTGTGGCTTCCAGCCAAGCAAAAGACAGGCATATATGAGTTGAACATTTACCTGATGTAGATACATTGCTTGGAGATAACAATCATGGGAGAAAGAAGGGCTGCTTATGTGCCGGGAGACAGCTCAGGGGGCAGGAAGGCATGGAGGGATGGACACAGGGAAGAGGTAATTATCAGGAGGACGTGGGAGGGGAGCTGTTGCTTTGTGGTAAATTGTGGTCAATATTATGAGAAAAAGTGTATGTGAACTGCTGTGTGGAAAGTGAATTTGCTCTGTAAATTTTCACCCAAATCACAATTAAAAAAAAAAAAAAAAAGAAAGAGCCTAATAATCTGAAACTTAAAAGATCTCTTTTTTAAAAATTTGTATTTCTTTTATTAGTGGTAATGCTGGTCATTTCTCACATACTTACTGTCTCTCTGTATATGAGTTACTTGTCCATATACTTTGCCCACTTTTCTACTGGAATGTATCTGATAACTTTAGTATACAGTTGTCATTTACACACACAAATACATACA